ACCCAGCTCCTGCAAATCCCCAGCCACTTCGAGAGTGCTCTAGTCCACATAAATAGCCGTGCATAAAGTGCACCACAATTAAGTACAGCTGGCTGGCGCGAAGCTGCCACGCTTGCGTGCAGGCAAATGGACCGTCTGGGAAGAAGCGTTGCGCGCGGAGATTGGCTGCGGATGGGCTGCCACCGCGCTCTTATTTAAACAGCTGCTAGAACTGGCACCGTAGTCTCAATTCTAGCCTCCTGTCGATAACAGCATGTCAAGGCTGATGCCGAATCTGCCCGGCGAGTCCTCGGAAAATGTGACAATATGGCCTAATCGGACTGGGCCGCCGATTACCCTCTGTCGAATCCGTATGACCGCAGTCCAACTGGCCTGTTCTCCCCTGCGGTACGGGCTGCCCGAATTAAAACCCCTGAAACCACTGCTTTCGCAAGAAATGGCCACCATGTTTATCGTTTTCTCTCTGGTCGTGATGTTCCTGGGCAAGCTTGAGAGCTGGATAAACGAGAGGAGACAGAATAGTCAGGTGAGTGTCCAGTGCAAAATGACGGAATTTGCGGAAGATTGATAGTCACCCACAAAGCGACACTAACGCATGTACGAAAACTATAAAGCAATACTGACCAACTTTAAAGTAACTTAGAACTTAAAAAGTTCTATAAAAAAGTAATAACCATCTGCTTAGAACTACTAAAATTGTACATGAACCTCAAGTTCCAAAACTGTGAAAGTAATGGCTATAAATTTGACAAATAAATCAAATTTAGTCGCCAGGTGAAATCGTAACCATACAATTTTCTTCATATTGAAAGAACTTTCCTTCTTCCAACCTTCATTATATAGATTTCAGGCACTGGATTACAATTAATTTCAGATCATCCTTTAAACTCAGGCAAATTATCTACGATGTTCTGCATTTTCATGCTTTCTTCCATGAATGTAGATTAGGTTCGAGACGAATATCAAAACCCTTAAAATAAGATACTTTATTAAAAACATCTACCAATAAAGCCACTTGTTTGATATTAGTTCTTATGAAAATGGCAAGAGTGGCGATATTTATCAGTTCCTCGAAACACTAAAACAGTTTCAAGCAAAGAGAACGTCCACAAGAGAAGTGTGATATTGTTACACCTAAGATTAATTTTAAAAAATTCCATAATAGGCCAACTCATTAAAAGCTCTTTATTTAGATATTCAGCTGACGAATATCTGTGTATGTTACATTTTTCCAAGGTATCGTCAAAGCGAAAATGGAAGATTTTAACCAATGAAAATAAATGACACAATTTTGGCCTGAACTAAAAGGACTTACTTTTCTCTTTACACTGGAGTATTTTTCACCATATTTGATTACTTTTAGGCCCCTTTCTAAGAATTTCAATGCTAAAAAGAGTCGCGGAATGTCTACTAAGATTTTGCAAAAACCCGTTACCATCTGTGTGTCCCGTTTCTAGATTATGCTTTAGTGGAAATTATCTTGTACAAAATATTATCTTGTCGCATATTTAACCTTTATGAAGATTGTTTTTCCGTTCTCTACACGATAAACTATATGCATTTTGTTTACCGTGCCCAATCTTTGCTACAGTACAACAAAATACAGTTAAACATTATTCTACCGCGTTTTCTGACGAAATCATTCAGATGATGGAGAAAACATTTATTAAAAGTAAAACTCAAAAGAGTAGGTGGCGAGCATACGTATGCTTTCGATAAATTCTCATCGGGCCAATCACATTTATATGGGAAATTGCAGGTAATTATGATCATAGATACAAGCAAATTAGTCATGGGAATAGGGGTTAGTAATAGGCGGCTAGTTACGCGGTGGTAAAGGGGGGGGGGGCGAGAGGGAGAGAGAGCGTGAAAAATGCCGTTAGTTATGTGGCCGCTGGCCATGCTAGGCTCGGAGCTTGCAGGAGGTTCTTCTGCGGGCACAAAACTGGTTTCCTCAACCGGATGGCGGTTGCTTCCGCTGCTGCTAGCAACCGCTGACCCAAGGACTTTGGGTAGTTTGGTGGGATCCTGTAAATCACCTTGAAGGCTTCCTTGAGGTCAACACGATGTCCGGAGTCAACCATGTGGGCAAGAATGGCGCTGTTGATACTACTGACTTCCCCTTTGCTCAACCATGCTGGGAGGTGCTCCCGTATTCTTTTGGATAGACGCTGGCTCATGCGACTGATATAGCCTGCTCTACAGGAACAAGTAAATGAGTAAATACACGTAGAAGTGGTCTGAGCTGGCAGCCTATCCTTACTTTCACTGTGCAGGACTGGGTTGGTTGAGAATAACACCCGAACTAATATTATTTATTGTTTCTAAAAAATAATGAGATTCCACAAATTTGCCTTCATCTGATTTTCATCCACTTTAAGCCAGATTTTATAGTTCTGGAAGTTATGTATGCTTAACTTTTCTAGCTTATATTGGTGCTCGCCTATAGAGCAACACATAAAACAAAAAAGTTTGTTTATGTCATAGAAAATAACAAGGAATACTTCCGATATCCGGCAACTTACGATTTCGCTAAAATCCTGCCTGGTTTCCTTAAATAAACTGAGCAAACAGGTGGTTTTCCTTACTGAATGAGGAAGAAGGGTGGTCGAGCACCGGATCAATTTGTTTATTGTCCTGAGGATTCGAGCCCTGGCGGGAGTCCATCGTCAGAAGAAAAAGCGTCCACGAAAAACAAACAACAGTTATAGGGGGTAGGAACCAATCAACCGTTATACGGGACGACCGACAGTGTTGATTAATGAGTTCCCTCCCCCCCTGTGTTACGGTTAACTCGATCAGCCAGGGTCGCCAGACCTGGATTCCATATTCCAGTTGCAAACGCATAAATATTCTATATATTTTCTCAAATAGTTCCCTTGATGGCGAACAGAACCCCGCTTGCCAGTTTGGACGTCCTGAGGCAATAAGAGAAGGGGGCTTCAGGTATGACAGAACGCTGATTCTAAGGTCTATTTGTTCGTTAAATTTGATAAAATCTCTCGCTTAGGGAGTATTAACAAGCAGCTTCATGACTCCTCTCCTTTCTCATTTTGAGGTACAGGATGACACGCTTCTCAAAGTTAAACCATTTACATATCGGAGCATTCAGCTAGGTGGCTAAGTCCTGCTTGTGGGGTCTGTTCATCACTCCTGAATCTGATCTTCGTCATATTTAGATGTCACCTGCCAAAATGATTCCTATGCCGGCTAGTCCAGTCATGTAATCATTGTCATGCATTAATAACAGCAATGGTCGGAGCACAGAAGCCTGAGGTACCCCATTTAAAACTGGTATTGGTATTGATTTCACATTACCAATGCACACCGACTACGATCAGCCAATTAAGTAATCCTCTATCCAACATAGCAGATTCATTCTTAACCTAATGCTTTCTACCCAAAAAATATTTCGAAATTATTCTATTTTGCAGTTGAAATCACAGTTCTTTACTTGTTTTCGCACGTCCAGCAAAAACCCTGTGGATTGCCCAGTGAGCAAAAGAACCTGGGCCTCACCGCATGCTACTTCATCGCACAGTTTACTTGGCCGCTCTATCTTACCGATTCGGTGAACTTTGCGCTTAAGGTGAGTTTCCTATTTTGCAATGCTCCCATCACGTAGTTCTCTTTTTAAAAATAGTAACAGTAGTAGCGTTTAAGAAGTCAAGTTGGGCGAACGCACGTGTTCAAGTATTCATCATCAGACCTTTGCAGAAATAAAACGAGGGTAAAATAATAAAAGTTTTATCATCCACCAGCTATAGAGGAGAAGTTTGAGGGCTTTCGGAGATCAGGTGCAAGAATCTAGTCCTACCGGGGATTGAGTTAGAGGGAGGGAGGATCATGGGGGCCTAGGTCTCGTTGAAAAATAATTCTTAGCGTTTACTAATGCCACATGCGTCATTCGTAGTGCAGGTACTTTTGTGCATCCCTTCAAGACATTCACTGTTCCGGGGGATTATATGCCAGCAGTTTTAAAGCAGGTTCTCTTAAAGCGCATGGCAGTACCAACTCAATTCTGAATTTTTTACACAACGGGTCATAGAAAAACGGAATAACCTCGTTGATGAACGTTAACCCGACCGCTAACGGAACCCGTTCTGTCTTGGGCCTCGAGAGAAGTCCTGACAGCCGTAGCAACTGGTAGTATAGGCAGATGGGACACCACTTGTGTCTGGGTATGAAGGGCTGATGACGGCCAATAAGCCAGAAATGGGCATTGTCTTTGCCGACAGTATTATTTGTCTATACTACCAAATGGAATAGCCTCCCACAATCAGCCGTGAAGGAACATACACTGAGCTCTTCAAGAAAAGCTTCGATGAATATATGTTGTCCTTCGGCAGTCTGAAGTCGAACTACCACACCACACAAAAACCAGACAAGAGAGTTATTTGCAAAAACAGTGCCACTCATATTTTGTAAATACTATTTTAAAAGTGACGGTTTGTGATTGGGCACGTACAAATATATATATATGTTAATATATATATATATATATATATATTAACATGACTAAAGATACGAGGTCCAG